ACAAACAAACAAACACCCCCCCCCCCAAAAAAAAAAAAAAACAAATCTCTTAATCCAGAAGAACAAGTGTCAAAAGTTTTAAAAATCGAGATGGTCACGGCAGGGCTATTCCTAGAATCAGGAACAACTCAATGAGTTCCTTTGCCGTCCCTGGAAATGTGGTAGGGGCTGGCATGGCACTGAGAGAGGGGACAGGTTCCTTCAGAGGAAAAGCTTGACGACACCACTGCCAGCATGCTGACGGCTAGGCTTTGAATGTCACACAAGTCGGACACCAAGATAAACCTCAAACTGTTTCCCCTAAACCTTCAAGGGCTGACCTCTCCTGCCTTTCCCTGATTCTGGCATGCAGACTTCCCACACGGTCACTGAGGTCTGCACCCAGACCCTTGCCAGCCTCTCTCCCCAGACTGACTGAGACCAGGTGACAGGCTGCAGGGCAGCACCAGGGGTGCGTGTGTATTGTCCTGCCTGGTCCACTGCAAGCCAAAGGCTCCCTCGACCACTGTCCCCTTTCTCAGCTTCCTTCTGCAGTCCTGGGGCACCCATGTCTGCCAGAGGAAGGGCAAGAGAGGCCATGGCTTTCTTTCCCAGATCACTCCAGGCTCCTCATTTAAACTGCTCAGTCTTTTGATCTATTTAGCGAGTTCTAATCGCCCGACAGACGCACTGTGAAGAAACAGTTAATAGTGACATTGATCTGAGCCACGCAGCCAGACTTTGGGAGGTGTCACACCAGAACACGGGACTGCTCCCCGGCCCCCGGCCCTGTACAGGCCACCTGCTGCTAGCACAGAAATATCACCTACCCAGAAGGCCCCAGCTTTTCTTTGGACTCCACAAATTCTTTTCCCATCTTCATTTTCTCCCACTCTTCCTTACGTGTCTTTATTTTACGTGGGTTTACATTCCCTCGATTTGGGTTATCTTTCTTCTCTTTCTAGAATGAAAGGAACAGAAAAGCCTCTGTAAAACGTTCCCTGGAGCCAGCAGATGGCGTAGTGGTTACATCCCTGACTTCCACATGGCCGACCACGGTTTGAGTCCCAGACCCAGTGGCTTGAAACTCACGCCAGGCACATGTGTGTGCATGCACAAGATCCAGGGAGAAGGGACTGTGGCGTGGTCATCCCCCCAGGGGGTGATTTCTTATGTTCTCTGTCTTTGTCTTTAACGTGAGCACATACACTCTAAAGCAAAAACCTTTTTAAAAACAAAAAACAGGGACCAGCAGATGGCACAATGATTTACATTGCTGGACTTCCACGTAGCTGACCATGGTTTGAGTCCTGGACCTGGTGACTTAAAATTCTGGGAGCATGTGTATGCCCAAAATCCCAAGGTGAGAATGGAGAAGGGACTGCAGCATGGCCATCCCTACTGAGTGATTTCTCACTTTCTATCTCTCTCTCTCTTGTCTCTCCAGAGAGCGTACATGCCCTATAGCAAAAAACTCTCAAAAAAACAAACAAAAATTTCCCAAAGCTTTTCATTAGCATTCCACCCACTGGGACTGGCAGGGTTGTGGCGGTTCAAGCACTTGGACTCACACAAGGCTGACCACAGTCGGGGTCCTAGACCCAGCGGCTAGAAGGAGGGAGAAGGGACTGTGGCGTGGCCATCCCCTGGGGAGTGATTTCTCACTTTCTCTGTCTCTGTCTGTGTCTCTGGTGAGCATACATGGCCTATGGCAAAAAAGTAAAAAAAAAAAAACAAACATAAATGGGAAGGACGGCTGTGACAGAAACAAGGCAACTGCTAAAAAATGAGACAAGAGGGAACCAGCAGTTAGCGTAATGGCTATGTCGCTGGGCTCCCACGTAGTCGACCGCGGTTCGTGTCCCGGACCCGGTGGCTTAAAACTCACGCCGGGCGCGTGTGCGTGCGTGTCCAAGATCCCGAGAGGAGAATGGAGGAGAAGGGATTGCGGCGTGACCATCCCCCCTGGGGGGTGATTTCTCACTTTCTGTCTCTATGTCTCTCTCTGTCTGTCTGGCGAGCGCACGCGCCCTACAGTGAAAAATCTCTCCAAAAAAAAAAAAAAAAAGAGACAAGACAGGGGTCAGCAGACGGCACGGCACGGCTGGACTCCCATGTAGTCAGCCATGGTTCGAGTCCTGAACCTGGTGGCTTAAAACTCACACCAGGCATGTGTGTGTTCCTGCCCCAAATCCCAAGAGAACAGAGGAAAAGGGACTGCAGTGTGGCCGTCCCCTTGGGGGGCGATTTCTTGCTGTCTGTCTCTCCGGAGAATGTACACACCCTAGAGCAAAACATCTCTTAAAAAATAAGAGACAAGGGGCCGGCAGATGATGCGGTGGTTAAAGGCCCTGGACTCACACAGGGCTGACTCGGTTCAAGTCCTGGACCTGGCGGCTGGCTGTCTCCATTCCCCTTTCTCTCTCTGGGCAAATTTAAAAAACAACAAATGGAATGAAATAAATAATTCTTCAAAAGGACCAAGCAAATGGTGACCTCTCCAGCTTGTGCAGCCAGGCCCAGTGCTCTCTGGGGCCACCCAGAGCTGTACAGGGATGGTTGAGACGGCACCGCAAGGCCACGGACTGCAAGGAGTCTGGGGGAGGGAGCCGCCCCCAGACTGGACCCCACCCACCTGGCCAGAGCGGAGGGAGCCACTCTGTCCCAGACCCTGAGCTGACCCTGCGGACAGGGGCACTGGCCTGCCCGAGCACCCGATGGAGCTGGGCACCAGGTGCAAGCGGCACGGACAGTGAGCAGAAGGGCCCACGTCCACGCCCAGTCTGAACCCCGACTGTCAGCAGCTGGAGGGACAGACATGCTTCTGGTGTGACCTGGACTTCATCTCGGCCGTGCTCGGTGTGGGCGCCTTTTTAAGCGTTTCACCCGGTATCTAGGCAGCCTTGGAATGGCCACTTCACACGAGCCTGGCTTCCCTTTCATCCCCCACGATGGCGACCACCGAGTGTGGGGCGGGCCCCCCGCACCCTGTGCTTCCTCTTCTCTTTCATGATGTCCTTGGTGTCCTGCAGCATCTTCTCCTTCCAGAGATCAAAGAAGTAGGAAGGGTCTGTGTAGAATTTGAGTGCCTCTCTTCCATCATCCCTGGACAGAAATGAAGACAAGGCTGTCACCTCGTCCGCCACCCCAGACGCCAGCTGGGCAGCAGTTTCCCCACACCCCTGGGTCACACCTCCCGGCCAACACCTGGCAGAGGAGTGTGGTGGCCAGGACAGGGGCCCCGACCATTCCCACGAGTTTATGTGGCCAAGGATACCTGAGGAGACTAGGCTCCTGCCGCTGGTTCCCCTCACCCGCCATCCCCCAGGCCTCTAGGAAGCGCCGGGACACTGGGAGAAGGTGGAAGGTGTTGGAAGGCGGACCGCAGGCCACAGGAGCACACGCAGTCACGCCACCCAGGCTTTCCCCTCACCCAGAAGAGCTCTGCATGTGCAGGCCCACATGGACATACGTGGGTGTGGGTGTGCACAGCTACTGCTCCTCTGTGCACACACGTAACCAGAGCTCCAGCCCGTGCTCCTCCCTGGGGCAGTTCAGCACCCCACCACGAGGCCCCCAGCAAGAATAGCGGCCGGGAGTGCAGGCCCCGATCCCCGCTGGAACCCTGCAGCCTGCAAGGCCATGTCTCACCATCCAGAATGCAAGAATGTAGGGGACCACTTATTTTAACATCGCTCCAAAGAAAGCAGAATTGGAGAAACAAGTCTACTTGTCCCCAACACACGGAGAACACTTCCAAGTCAGAGGCGCGGCCACGGAGCACTCGAGTGAGGCGCGTGGCCACGTGCTGCTGAGCCGGTGCAGGCCAGGGAGGGCTCCTCCTGGCTAGAAGGGAGCTCTGCTGCCGGAGCAGAGCACCGTTTTCTCACCACGCCTGCGCACCCTGCCTACCACAGACCCCCTGCCGGACCCTGACACCATTACCG